TTTCTTGTTCTGTGGAGACTTAGGAACAAGCATAAGAATTTGCTCGGCGAAAGAAGACAAATCTAGTTTGCCTTCCACCATCCTGGCATTCGCACGACATGTCATGTTCCAAACTATATATTTAATTAATATATACATATAATTAATATACATTATCCACTATTAAAATAATAATAATTTGGTCACTCACTCCACGACTGTTTGTGCGCAATTGGCTGCTGCATTTCGCCCACAAAATACACAGTCACTACACATTACAGTAATCTGTGAAGATGTCTCGAAGACGTGATAAGGTGCTATATCAAATGCAAGGATTATCATTATATACTATATCGCGGAATATTATTTTCTAGCAGAAATCTATCTGATTTGTTCTTGAAACAAACAACACTTTATGCTTCCACCGTCTGTCTCATTAGGTAAATCTTTTTAACAACAACAACTTGGATTTATATAGCGCCCTCCACGCCGGACGGCATTTCAGAGCTTCACAGTAACAGATCCCGGGGCCGAGTCAAAGGCGCGGTCGAAAACAACACTCACTTTACTCCCAATTATTCGTCATTCTTTAAGGAGCTTTGAGACGTTTCTTTATATGAAGTGCTCCGGATAAATAATAATACTTGCGTTTGATACACCGCAATGGAGCAAGCACATTATTTCGCCCACAAAATACATACAGTCAATTCACTTTATAGTATATCCTGTGAAATGCTTTGAGACGTCTCAAAGGCGTGATAAGGCACTGTATCAAATGCCAGGATTATTAGTTATATTATTATCATTAGACGCTGGGACACAAGTTCCTCTGAACCCTGTGATAAGATTGATATTATCTTCTTATAACTGAAGATTCTATTATAACAAACAGTGTGAATCTTTTCAGTTAGATTGGAGACCTTTTTCTGAGTCACAGCTATTCATTAATTAAGTACCAAATGACTACTTTATTTTGAAGCCTCCCGGTGAAGGAAACCTTAAATAGAAACGCTTCAAATAATAAAGTTCAGCCATGTATAATCTTAACCTGTAGAAAGCAAGGCTTTAATTAAGTACATTAATACACTGTATCACTCTCAGACTTTGATTAAAGTTGTCTCTTTGCAACCAAGTTCAATGATATTCCATTGATACAATACCTGCTTTTCTCCAAAGCCGTCTTCTCTATTGCCCTTTCCCTGTGCCCCCCCCCCCCCCCGCCATAATAATAATCCTTACAGTTTATGTAGCACTTTATCATGTCTTTGAGACATCTCAAAGAGCTTCATTGGATATACTGTAAAGTGACTTGACGGTATATATTTTGTGGGTGAAACACGGCAGCCAATTGCGGACAGCAGCGTCCCCACAAACAGTCGTGGATTGAGTGACCAAAGTATTATTATTACTCTGTGAAGGGATTATTACCCCTGGAAAAGCGATCCGCCAATCGTCTAATAACCGTGTTCCTACTTACTGCTGGTAGAGGCGCGTGGAGTAAGGGAAATTGCCCAACGTTTTGCCCTGCCCGGGAACTGAACACTGGTTCTCTTGCTTGCGAGGTGAGCGCTCCGATCGCTGAGCTACAGGACTCCACTAATATTAATCCTCGTTGAGACGTCTCAAAGCCCTTCACAGAATATAAGTGAATTGACTATATTTTGAGGGCGAAATGCGGCAGCCAATTGCGCACAGCGGCGTCCCACAAAGAGGCGTGAATTGAGTGACCAAATTATTATAAAATATGAAGCTGCAGGTAGGTACCTTAACCCTTAACATGATAAGCTGCCCGTCTGCTGCTCACTAACTGCCTTAAGACTGAATAGAAGAAGCTTCAGTCGGAGCGGATGGTGTGATTAGGACATTGCGGTGCCCAGAAATCGCAGGGTCACAGGAATGACTGGCAGCTCCCCGATCAGTATCTCACAGCAATAAAAGGATGTCAATCTGGATCGATTTAGCGGAGCCTGGAGCGGACATCAGCCGAGCGGCTCTCTAGCAGCTTAAATGTCAAGTATCCAGCGGTGGTGAGAGGAGGAGGAGGAGGAGGAGGAGGGAAGGCCCGACAATGAGTAGCACCAGCTTTTGTGACGTAGCAAAACCTTTTTAACGCGAGTATTGGAGAAATCACTGCAGCTACCTCGCTTGGTCCCGTTCCCCTGCTCATGGAGGCCTGTAGCTCAGTGATTAGAGCACTCGTCTCGCAAACGAGAGGACCCGGGTTCGATTCCCGGGCAGGACAAAACGCTGAGCAAGTTTCCTTACTCCACGCGCCTCTGTTTACCAGCAGTAAGTAGAACCTGGTTGTTAGTCGATTGGCGGATCATTTTTCCAGTGGTAATAACCCCTTCAAAAAATATATACAGTATGAATAAATAATAATTTGGCCACTCAATCCAGAACTGTTTGTGGGACACTGCTGCGCGCAACTGGCTGCCGCACTTCGTTCACAAAATACAGTCACTACACTCCAAAACAAGCAAGCACAGTCTTAAAATTAGAACCAGGCCATTTAGGAGTGAAATTGGGAAGAATTTTGTCACTGAAACGGGGGTAGAAATCTGGAATTCTCTCCCCAGAAAGGCCGCGGATGCCAGATCCATCCACAGCTTCACCAGTGAGGTTGATAGATTGTTGGTAGGTCGGGGTATTAAGGGATATGGGGGTAAAGCGGGAAATTGGGATTGAAAGGATTAGTGGAGGTACAGATCAGCCATGATCTAATTAAATGGTGGAACAGACTCGAAGGGCTGAATGGCCTCCGCCTGTTCCTATGTACACTTTACAGTATATTCTGTGAAGCGCTTTGAGACATCCCAATGACATGATAAGCGCTATATCAAATGCAAGGATTATTATTATTAGAAACTTCTGAGTTGCGATGCACTGTAAAAGCATTGCACCCAAGATATCAATACTGGCAGCTTGGAATGGCAACTGCTATTCTCTTGGGACGGGAAGCAAGACCACTAAATCTTTGTAACTTTAAAAAAGAGAGAAAAATATGACTGTAATCAATTTAATATTCAGCGATGCTCAGCCTTGCAGCTTCCTGCAGCTGAAACCTTGCACCTTGTTCTTCCAACATCGAGTGACCACCCACTGTATTGCTATTATGCTTATTGTTGCTTCGTTAAGTCAATACTTGAGATCCAATTATACTTCTTTTTACCCGAAATTTCACAGTGAATTCACATCACATGCAGCTTTAGTATTCCCTTTCTCTTTACTAAAATAGACCAGGTTATAATTAACTCAAATTGCTTCTCCCCCTGCAATTACCGACTGCCAGATCCATAAAATTCCCATCGCAAGGACGTCACAAGATCAGCAGCCTCTGCTTCATGTCATGGGACGAAACCATCTCTACACACAAAACAAGGGACCTGGACTACGAGGAGCGACTCAGTAAATTGTGCATGTTCACGCTGGAAAAGAGAAGATTGAGAGGCGACATGATTGCTGTCTGTAAGATTCTAAACGGGCAAAACAATATAGATCATGACAGGCCGCCTCAACTTGTCCAGAATAGTAAAACCAGAGGACACGGCCTGCGATTGAAGGGGGTAAATTCAGAACAAATCTACGCAAACACTATTTCAGTGAGCGAATAGAGAATCTGTGGAACAGGCTCCCTAGGGAGACGGTTGAAGAGGGAGGTGTTGATTTTTTTCAAACACAGATTAGATAGTTTTTAGGAAATAACATTATGGAATACAGTACATAGGGAATTTGGGACATACATGCATGCGACCACCATGAAGGTGGAAGGCGAACTAGATAGACCTGTCTTTTTCCTCTAGCATTTCTTATGTTAAGGGAAAGGACATAATCTTTTCGCCCACAAAATATACAGTCAATTCACTTTACAGTATATCCTGCGAAGCGCTTTGAGACGTCTCAAACATGTGATAAAGCACTCTATCAAGTGCAAGGATTATTATTATAACTATCACCTTTTGTAAATCACTAACAACACCACACACTCTGGATTGTCACTGGAGCAGTTAAAGAACGGTTACAAGACTTATGTAGGCAGTATGAGAGCACAAAATGCTTTGTCACTAAGGATCTTGAAGAGGAACATAATGGGACAGAGAAAGAGCAGCAAATTGGGATTAGTGTGGATAGCTACAGTCAGGAAGTAGACTTGTGAAAACTCAAATATTCCTAGATATTCATCAAAGTTCATTCAACACTTTAAATTGGCGTTTCAATATATATAAAACTTCTAACAGCAGAGCTATGATCCAAAAGGAAGCAAAGCCAGAACTCCTGATGATATATAAAAGGCAATTCTATGAGCAGAACCACAAACCAAGTGGGTAATTGTGAATGAACACGCTCATTATGCCACTGGGATTTGATTCACAAGAGCACTAAAGTCTCATCTCAACACAGCAGGAGGTCAACCCAAGACTCGTCCAGACCTCTGGAAGAGAACCAGAGAAGAAACTCGCAGCGATTGCAAGCCAGTTGGCCACACACTGCAGTCTGCAATCACAGGCAATCACTCAAACCCTCTCCTGAAACATGTCAACGCTGTTTATCCAGTCTTGAGATTGAAAAGGTGTGTTTTTGTAATGTCATTTGTTACTATAGCTCTTAATTAACCTGTCCGCTCCCTCCGCTCAGCGAGCTCCAGGCCTGCTCGCTGCCCCACCATCGGTGGTCGGGCCTTCACCCTCTCTGCCCCCACCCATTGGAACTCCATCCCACAGTCCCTTCGCTTCACTCTCTCCCTCGCCTCTTTCAAGGCATGTCTCAAGACCCTCCTCTTCGACTGCGCCTTCGGCCACCCTCCTACCCCCACCCTCCCTGCCCTCCAGCCCTCCTGATCCCGACTTCTAGCTCGGGTCCAAATCCCTGACTGTCCAGTGCCTTGGGACGTCCTGTATGTCCCGTGTAAATGTCATGTGTTGTTGTTGAAAGTTGTAAACCAATTTCCTCCTTTCCTTGTAGAATAAATAAAATCACGCCAAGTGTATAAATGTTAGTTATTTACAGTAAAAGCTGATTACCTGGCTTCCGCAGCAAGCAATTCATCATAGTGCGAGGATCTCTGATCATCATCCTGGCGATAGCGGATCACAGTGGCCAGACCTTTACTCACCAGGGCTTCCGCGATGTTGCTGCAAAAGAGTAGGAATTAGTTAGACACCCGTCTCTGGAGGAAAGCAATCAATCAAGTAGAAAAGGCCGTCTAACAGGATAGATTCAGGGACCTAAGCAGCACAGGTCAGCTCCACAGACCAGTCTGCAAATCCTGAACATTCAAAGTAAGTAACATTGGAGATGTAGAAAAACCCCGCGCTTTATCATGCTCCAGTCTAACTTAATTCCTGAGTGCCACAGGCACCATTAAATTATTCTCTTAGAATTATCCAACGCTACAACATGCAAACCAGCCATTTGGAGTCCTGTAGCTCAGTGGTTAGAGCACTCGCCTCACAAGCGAGAGGACCTGAGTTCGATTCCCGGGCAGGGCGAAACGTTAGGCAAGTTTCTTTACTCCACAGGCTTCTGTATACTGAGCAGTCAGTAGGAACACAATTGTTAGTCGATTGGCGGATCACTTTGCCGGGGGAAATAATCCATTTAAAAAAAATGGTCACTCAAGCTATGACTGTTTGTGGGACGCTGCTGTGCGTAATTGGCTGCCGCATTTCGGCCACAAAATATACAGTCGATTCACTTTACAGTACATTCTGTGAAGCGCTTTGAGACGTCTCAAAGACGTGATAAGGCGCTATATCAAATGCAAGGATTATTTTGCCCTGCTCGGGAATCGAACCCGGATCTTCTCGCTTGCGAGACAAGCATGTTAAACACTTTGCTGCGGGACTTCAATAGATTCTTTACCCTCACAACAGTTTGTATGTAGCAGAGAATTCCACTCCCATCACCCCTAATTTTCCAAGTCAAAAGGACAAAAGATGCTTAAAACATATGTCCAGATTAGGTTTGCTGTGCATCAATAATAGGTATCCTTTCAGTAGGGAAGCAAAATGATTAACATGTGACTGTGTGAACCTACATTAATAACAGCACAACAGAGTAATGCCATGTCACAGAAAAGCAAGCCAGTCAAAGTTGAGTAATGTGGGCTGTGCTCTTGGATAGATAGCTCCGGGTTCTGCTCAATTAACGTTGAGGCGAAACTTTGCAGAATCTCTCTTCGGGAAATTAAGTTAGATAACGTCAACAAAAGGATCAAATTCAACATAGTTTGTGGGGAAGGAGGCTCACAAAGTCACACATGCACACAAACGCAGGTGGTCAATATCAGGATAAAGTGCTAAGCAACATTTGTTTTTTCAACCTTCCAAGCTGCTACAAGCCCCTCAGCATTCCCTCCCCCACGGCCGAGATCAGCTTTGTATACATTAGAAGAAGGTTGACAAGAGCCAAGGCTTGGGGACCCTAGAGGGTGCATTGGGGTAAGTGCTGGAGTCTAACCAACTAAAACTGCATAGCTTGCCACTGATATCACTATCTGGCAAGCGTTCCTGCTGCTTGTCCAGCTAGGACCCCCTTACCCGTTAGGGCATTAGCTGGCAGGGATAACAGGAGCTGAGTGGGAGGCTTGATTCCCAAATTCCGTTTTCCCAAGCATGTCCCTTGGGAGCCCACATGTATACAAACAATCCACTTTACAGCACAACCTGTGAAGCGCTTTGAGACGTCTCAAAGACGTGATAAGGCGCTATATCAAATGCCAGGATTAATAATATTATTACACATGGAACTGTCAGTTTGGGTGGACACCCTTAAGCATGGTGATGGAGTTCTGTGTGTATCAGACACCTGGCTGACCAAAAACAAAAAACCTTAGCCAGCTCCCCGGAAAGAGCTCTGCATTTAGTCCTCTTTCTCTACGGGACCCCCTTTTTATTGGAGCCATTTGTACAGTTTCCTTCTGAAAGTTATTACATATTCTTCTACTACAGTTTTTGGAGAATATTCAATGTTTTAATAACCCTCTGGAAAGCTGTTCTTAACCTCTTCTTATCTGCCATGCCGGTGTGAGCGACAGTTACAATGACCGACCTGTCAGGCGTCAGACAGATCGATCGCTTCTCTGATCGTAATTGGAACTGTCACCATGTCGTGGTACTTTTGGGGGGAGGGCGGTGGGGGTGGGGAAGGGAAGAGGGGGAATGTGATTAGTCACGGCAAATGCATCAATTCCCGGAAATTGTATTTGAGATCAGAGACGCGATTTTTTTTTCCTTATGATTTACATGACTTTTGAAAGCGGATACAATCATGAGACATATATGACCTTTACATTTTCCTACCAAATGATTGACTCGAGGGAGGTGATTCACGTGAAAAAATTTACTTTTACATTCATTAATAATCCTAGACCCCCTCCCAAACGACCAACCTATTAGGCAGACAATTATATATCACCCAGCGTTAAATCATCTTCTGATTAATTTTAAACCTGCGTGCTGATGGAGACAGAGCTCTTTGGTGGAGCGATGATGCAGCCAAAAGATGCACTAACATTGTATTTTTACATTTTTCTTTTTTTTAAGGGATTATTATTACCCTTGGAAAGCGATACGCCAATCGACTAACGACCAGGTCCTACTTACTGCTAGGTAAACAGGAATGCGGGACAGACAGTCAGGGATTTGGATCTCAGCAGGCGGTTGGGATCAGGAGGGATGGAGGGCAGGGAGTTGGAGGGTGGACGAAGGCACGGTCAAAGAGGAGGGTCTTGAGACAGGCCTTGAAGGAAGCAAGGGAGGGGGTGAGGTGAAGGGATTGTGGGATGGAGTGCCAAAGGGTGGGGGCAGAGAAGCTAATAGCTCGACCGTCGATGGTGGGGCGTCCTACATTCCTGCATCCTACCTACACACGGAAGTTCTAGAGATAGATTGTTGGATTGCACGATGGACCAAATGGCTTCCTTTGATGCTGTGAAATCCTACCATTCAGTGTGGTACTTAACCGACAGCAGCCCAGATCTTCAGCAGCAGCAAACAAGAGAACAAGAATAAGAAGCATCCCTTTGGGCTTGTGTGCTTCACACTATTCATAACCCAAAGTGTGACCAGTTGACAAATAAGGTAACATAAACAGCATCTTATAAGAGAGACTCAGATCAATTAGGCAGATGGGTTGAGGGATAGCAGATGGGTTTTAATTTAGATAAATGCACAAACTTGTGTACAAAGCGCTAACAATATAGATAAATGCAAAGTGATGCATTGCGAAGGGGATATGGAAAACCGTATGTGCATGATAAAGGAGTACTCATTAGTAGAGGTGGTGGAGAGAAAATAAAGGGATTTGCGAGGAGTTATTGATCATGCGCCGAAAGTTTGTAATCAATATGAATCTGATTAATAAAGCCCGTCAAATGCGAAGTTGCAACAAGGGAGCATTTGACAAAGTATAAACAGTTAAATCCAAGCACGCAGATCATTGATAAGAACTATTCTTAAATACTAAGTGCACCTTACGACACCACATTCAGAAAGACGTTGATGCATTTGTGGAGTCCTGTAACTCAGTGGTTAGAGCACTCGCCTCGCAAGTGAGAGGAGCTCGTTTCGATTCCGGGCCAAGCGAAACATTGGACAAGTTTCCTTGAGGAGGAAATCACCTTAGCAATGTCTTATTTTGCTTCATTCTGGCATCCTAAGAACAAGTTGAAACAGGAACTATAATTAGCCAGTAATAAACTCTCTACTCTGCCCAGACTGAGTTAGACTGATGGCACGACTCCACAGACCATGTCAGTTATGTGGATGCACGCCCTGAAAGACGGGCCCACAACTACATGTGGGGTAGTTTTATTATTAGGCGCAGGTTGGCAAGAGCTAAGGCTTGGGGACTCCAGAGTGCGTGTGTTGGGGTAATTGGTGGAGCCTAACCAGCTCTAACCACATAGTTTGCCACTGATATTTTGTTCTGTGGCAAGCTTTCCCACTGCTTGTCCAGCTAGGACCACCCCACCGGTGGAGGCTTTGGCTGCAGAGTTAATGGGAGCTGAGTGGGATGACTCCCTGTCCCCAGTGACTTTCCAAGACCTGGAAAGTCGATGAGCTAGGCTGGGCTGTGCTGTCAAAAGCAGTGAGTGTCCTGGAATACCTCGGACCTGAATGAAGATTTTCTTCCTTTAAATAAAAGAGCACTCTTCTCACAAGCTCTTGCTTACAGGAGGATGAGCAGCACTGGCTTTTAAGACTTGGAGGTGATAATTCAACATTGTTGGCAAGATGATCACTAATATTCCTCTGCACCACACTGCCAAGTGCAATTTTCTCTTTTCTTTTTGAAAGATTCCCCGTTCCTATCCTCGTCATTTTTCTCCACCAATTTCTCCTCCTCCGTGGCACATACCCAGGCCACCATTGTTATAATAATAACAACTCTTGCATTTGATATAGCGCCTTATCACGTCTTCGAGACTTTTCAAAGCGCTTCACAGGATATACTGTAAAGTGACTAGCATAAGATTCAAAATCAAGCATTGCCAGGCATTTCAGCTGACGTCCATGTCCTTGTTGTTGATCTTGCTCCTCGTGCGTCAGCTTGGTTCAGTTGGTAGCGTCTCTCAGGGCTTAGAAGATTGTGGGTTCAAGCCCTACATCAGGATTTGAGCTCACAACCGTCCAGCATCAGAGATGCCACATTTCAGATGAGATCAACGAGGCTTCAGGTAGACATGAAAGATCTTCTGGCAAAATGAAGCACGATCCTCCTGGTGTCCCTACATGATAATTCACCTTTGTCCTGTGGAGTCCTGTAGCTCAGTGGTTAGAGCACTTGCCTCGCAAGCCAGAGACCTGATTTCGATACCTGGGCAGGGCGAAACGTTGGGTGAGTTTCCTTACTCCACGCGCCTCTGTTCACCAGCAGTAAGTAGGAACCCGGTTGTTAGTCAATCGGCGGATCGCTTTTCCGGGGTTAATTCTAGGGCCCTTAAACTCTGGAACACTCTTCCTCTATTTCTTCGCCTTGCCCCTTCCTTCCCCATCTTCAAGTCGTGTCTGAAGATCTTCCTCTTCGACCATTCCTATGGTCACCACCCCACCCCCCAGCGACATGCTCCGCCACTGTCAAGTGCTCTGGGACGTTATCCTGCGTGAGGGCCATATAACTGGAAGTTGTT